TAAGTCGCTTTGGATAAAAGCATCTGCTAAATGACTAAATGTAAATGTAAGATTATCCTATTTAAATCAATGTGACAAATGAGCAATCACAAGTAATCAGAAAGTAATCTAGCCAGCACTGATTATTTGAATGTTTATTTTGAAAGTTCTAAGAACCAGTTTGTGATTCGAATGTTATTTAAAGGTTACAAAAAAACATTTCGTAGAACGTTCATCGAGTGCAAATAACATCACAAAGACATTCTGAGAAATGAAGCACTGCATTCAAAAAAACCCACCCTTACGCCATAATTAACGAGATGTGCGTTTCCTCAAGACCTGCCAGAGCTAATTAAGATGAGGGGGATCACGGGAATCTGGAGCTGAATCATGCATGAAGACGCTGTGAAAGAGAAAGCGTTTCCAGACTGAAGGCGACGCTTGAGACGCTTCTAACAGCATCTTTTGTCACCCGTCTGTCCTCCTCCATTAAAACACACTCAGACAAGAATATCGTCTGAATATTTCACCGTAAAGTCAGAAGTGCAAAAACAGACGCGTGGTTTATTCATGCTTCCATCATTCATTCATCAAGATTTCTGCTGAAAATAAAGCAAGACATGAAGACTGAAGTCTTCCTCGTTTAAAAAAAAAACACCTGACCCTCTAACACATGCACTCTCTATTCTAATTCTATTTTATCTATTTGTTTACTTTTTTTATTTAAAAAAAACACACTTCATCTTCTAACACTTGCACTCTCTATTTGTTCTCTAACTGCTTGTTTTCTTTTTATTTATTATAAAAAATGACCCTCTAACACTAGTGTTCTCTATTCTTTTTCTATTCTTTCGATTAAAAAAAATAAATAAATAAAATTGACCCTCTAATTTTCTAGAATCTTATTTTCTAGAATAAAGAACGTTATTCTAGAAAAAGAATACTTGTTTTCTTTTTATTTATTATAAAAAAAAACTTGCTACGTGTGCTGCGTTACTTGTCACAGCACTTACATATTATTGCTCTTTTGTTGGTTTGATTGCTTCTATTGTCCTCATTTGTA